CTCTGTCTGGTGAAGCCTCTCACCCCCTGTACCTCTGGCCTGTACCCCAGTTCTGCATGCATATATAAACAAATCTTTAAAAAGGAAAAGGAAACCACAGATTGCAGCGATGAGCCCATCTGACAAATGAGCTGAGACACAGAGAAGTCAAGTCACCTGCCTAGGGCCGCCAGGAGTGAGTGGTGGAGCTGCGACCCAACCCCAGACAGGCCTCTCTGCTGTGGGCCTCCTCTCCAGTGCTCTCTGAATAATCACTGGGCTGAGGGTGGAGCTGGGGGAGCGGCCACACAGAGGGTCAAAAGCAGAAGCCCCGCTGGGGCTCCCCAAACTGACAAGGTGACATCTGGGACCTGGGAAAGGGGAAACATGGTCTTCACTTACCCAGTCCCCAGTATTTTCTCCGCCTGAGCCCTGCAGCTGGACAAGGCCCTTTCCCACCCACTTTGGGAGCAGGGATCCTAGGCCTGGTCAGGGCTAGGACCTGCAGAGGCCGATAGATGGCGCTCATGGCCCAACACAGCCCCTGCAGCCCTCAAACCGAGGAAAAAAAAACCGAGCCAACGCCTTAACCCCTTCCTGCCTGGGCTCAGGCCCCAGCAGCAGGGTGGTGGGTGGCCCAGGGGCCTGCCCAGACCCGGCTGGCCCCCTGCGGGTAGCCCAACTGACTAGGCTCTTGTTCGGGTCCTAGCCCGAGTTTGCTTCTGCTCCTGCCCCATAGACGGTCTATAAACCACAGTCAGCCCAGCAGTTCCTTGGAGATTTCAGAAGACCAAGAGATTAAGACACGGATAGGCTCGGTGGGAGGGTCTCACCCTGGCCCAGTTTTCACTTTCAGGCTCTATCTCTGTTTCTAGGTGCCTCCCACCTCAGGAGAGCGCATCATCTGTCTTCCCTGCAAGGGACACAGTAGATGAAGAAGAGTTGGACTAGAGGCATAAAACGCCCCAGGCCCCTTCGAGGTCAGCTATAGGGACTTGCTCTGGAGGCTCAAGACTCAGTTTCTCTCTCTGTCAGGATTCCCTAGTTCTGGACTCCCTGGGTGAGTGGTCTTACAAGGATAGAAACAGTTACCTAGCTCTTCCAGGAAGTTGAAATTGGGGAGTAAAGCCCCCCCAGGAATCTCCACTTTCCTGCCACTCATTTCACTCACTACTGTGCAGCCAGAAGCAGACTTGGAGTGTGGCGGGGCTGCGGTGATGAGAAACTGGGTGCCTGGCAGGCGGCTGCCCCGTGAGGTGGACAGAGAGTTGCCAAGGGGATGGTGAAGCAACTGGGCTTCTTAAGCAATGAGACGCTACCGCAGTGGGGTTCATCCTCCCTCCTAAGTTTTTCAAAGGCACAAATATGCACAGTTCATGGAGACAGAGAGGCAAGAGGGGAAGTCAATTCTAGAACCTCAGGATGTTATTCCAGTCATTCCAGAGAAAGAAGGTGAGACCGATGTACACACAGAGAGACAGAGAGAAAGCTGTACAAGGAGCCAGGAATGGAGCCTCATTTACAGAGGCAAGAGAGGCAAGACAGGGGGAGAAAAATTGCCCCCAAGGAAAGCTCAGGAAATAATGCATGTTGTGAAGTGGGTGATTAACTCGGTTTCCTAAGTCTTGCAAGCACGGGATGGCTTCTAACCTTTGGTGCAGAGGGTTACTAGCATCCTTCCCCGAAGCTCCTCAGCAGGATCTTGTCCGTTGCTTGGGGAGTGAGGAGGTTAGGGGAAGAGCCTGGCAGCCCTCTCCTCACTTCTTCCTGTCCTGGGCTTCCCGGGGCTCCCGCGGGAGACCTGGCTCTCCCCTCTCTGAATCATGGCCGGCTCTCCCCTCTCTGAATCATGGCCGAGCTGAGGTGTGCAGGGGGTGGGGGTGGGAGGAATGGAGCCGGTAACGGGTGGTCTGGGCTTTCCAGTTCCATACAAGCCTTACAGGAGCAGAAACAGACCCAGCACAAAGCCGGGAGAGCACAGTTGTGGACCCTGGGCGGGGGAGACCGTTCAGCAGCCACGGGGCTAGGGCTGGTCAGGGGACTTGAGGGGCAGGGTTGGCAAGGGCGGGAGGTTATAGGTCTGAGGAGCAGGGCAGGAGGGTGAGACCAGTCTCCAGCCATTGACACAGGGGCTTGAATATGAACACGGGAAGCGGAAGCGTCTGAGTCGTCACTACAGAGCTGCTAGGGGAGGTCAGAATTGTCTCTGGATGCTCTAGATCCGGGCCTCGGAAGGCTGCAAAGGAGCATCAGGACGGCCATTGCTAACGCCCACAGGGGTGGGCCGGGTCGCCGCCCCTGACTCGCCCTTCCTTTCGGAAGTGTGCGGACCAAACCCTTTTGGAAGGGCGACGACGTGTCAATGCAGGCCTGGCGTACAGAAAAACTACAAGCCCCAGAATCCCCCAGGGGTAACTGCTCACGCCTTCCGGCACCGCGAGCATTTCCGGCGGAAGTGTCCGGCTGACAATCTTCCTCCCCACGCAAACCAGACTACGACTCCCACGGCCCTCCGCGCGGGGGGCGGGGGAGGAACCGGAAGCCGGGCGGGACCTGGGCCAGGTGAGCGAGTGGGGGCCGCGGCCCGGGGTCGGTGGCGCGCAGGGCGCGCGGTCCCCGGGCGGGGCTGATGCGAAGCCGGCGTCCGTGTTCGAGACGTCCCTTCTGCCCGGGGCACCCAGGGCCGACCCCGCGGCACCGCCCGGAGGCGGCGGGCACGAGGCCTCCCCGACGGGCCGAGAAGTGTTGGGGGCCTTGGCCGCCTGCCCCTGGGGACCGAGAGTGAGGAACTGCCCTGGAGGCCGCGCGCGGTTAGTTCACGGAGTTGCTGAAGGTCGTGGAGGGCCCCTGGAGTGTCCCCCAGGGGAAGGGGTAGGTCGTGGCCGCGTGTCCCCTCTCTGAGCTCGGCGTCCGGGCCCCGCGGGGCAGGCGGCTGCTGGTCACCCCCTTGCTTCCCAGGCTCTTACTGGACAGACACGGATTTGCAAAGGACCGTTCCTAAGCCCCTGCCCTGCTGGCTAGGACCGGAATCCTCGTTTAATTCCCACCGTGTGTCGCTCAGGACCTCAAAGCTGGCCACAGCAGTCTCACGTGCCTCACGGGAGCTGCAGACTGGCCTACACTTTGTTGGTTCTGGGTGCCTTCGGCTCCAGACTGCCGCGGCGCCGGTCTTTTAAAGAGATTCATAAATACTGAGAAAAGTTGGGCCGATGTGGTGGCTCCAGCACGATCAAGCTATCACCAGCCACTGCAGCACCGAGTTCGATCCCCCCCCAGGGAGTGACCCACAGAGCGCAGCAGACCTCTCCTGTCTCCCCGCTGCTCCCCGCAGCAGTGCATTTCAGTAGATCTGCTCAGCAGTGTACTTCTTCAATCTGTCTGTTCTGCTCCCCACTCTGTCTCTGGTGACTCCTCTCACCCCACCCCATCTCGGGCCTACACCCCAGCTCTTGTGTGCATAAATAAAAATAAATATTTTAAAAGAATACTGAAAAAGTTAAATGAGACTAACAGCTGGTAGTTGGTTGGATGGAATTTGTGGTTTTCATGTGACTTATTTCAGAGAATCTGAGAAATGTGGGTGCGCCCCAGTGGTGCAGTGGGTTTGGACGCAGCCGCAGCCGCTTCAGAGTTCCATCCCTGTCCTGGAGCTGACCCACATGGCACAGCAGACCTCTCCTATCTCCCCACTGCTCCCCTCAGCAGTGTACTTCATCCATCTATCTGCCTGTCCTGCTCCCCACTGTCTCTGGTGAATCCTCTCACCCACCACACCTCTGGCCTGTACCCCAGTTCTGTATGTATAAATAAATAAATTTAAAAAAAAAAGGAATCTTAGAAATGAGACCAGCACTAGAATTTAAGTCGGTTGGCACCAGCCAGTGACGCTGCCTTGAGGTCAGGCTCTGTGACGCTGACCACTGAGGCTCATCATTCCCGAGTGTCCTCTGCACCTCCTGCCGTCTGCATCAGGCTCCCCAAAGCCCCAAGGGCCCAGAGCAGACACATCTTAAAACTTGCTATGTGAGAGTTGGGGCGCCACTCCACATGTGCTGGTTCTACATGGGGGGTCTCCTTGGGGCAAGCACCCCCAGATAGATGAGTTCACCACCTCAACTTCTATTTGAGCCTTGTTGGCCCCGGTCACCACCTGGACTGTCCACTGGACGTCTTTGAGACCAGGCTGAGGAAGGGGCGCTGCATGTGGCTCCCCATTGTTCCCGCTCCCTTTCTGTAGGCCAGGGTCAGCCTGCAAGTGATGGCGAAGGCTCTGTGTCAACCCTGGGGTCCTGCCGATCATAGGTTACTCCTAGCCCGGGCAGGAGGCTCAGAGGGAGGAAGAGCCGTGCGCTGTGCCCTGCGGACGCCCAGCATGCCGCAGGAAGCAAGCAGAGTGCGCGGGGCGGCTGAGCCCGCTGAGCTCGGCACACAGCAGTGCAGAGGAGCCATTGAGAAGGTTCCGCGGGAGAAGGCATTTTTAAGGGGTGTGCAGAGCTGAGTAGGTATTTAAGTACCTTCTAAGAGCGGGACCTTGAAGGCGGGGAAATGGGGCAGGGCCTCTGCCCCACGCGAGCCCACGCAGGCAGGCGGAGCGTGTGTTCACGAAGCCGCCGCCACGGAGTCAGTCTCCCCTTCACCACCCGTCTCGCCTCCGGCCGCGTGCTCACAGAGCCCAGCCCGGCGGCAGCCCTAGCTTGGGGCGGGCTGGGGCAGCCTGGCACACCCCGCACTGTTCTGGGGCAGCCCAGGGCTGGTCTGAGCTGCCTACAGAAGGGTGGTGGGGTCCGGGTGTGGGGTGAAGCGGGGACTCACTCCTGGCCACTCAGAGGAGTGTGTGTGGTGGGCGGGTGGGCATGCGTGTGCAGCTGCGAGTCGGTGGGAGAGGCGCGGGGAGGTGGGATTAGGCGCAGGCGGAGCCGGGTTCCTGTGGGAGAAGCCGGCAGGAGGGAGCGGCCTGGGCTGGGTGGTCCTCCCGCTCCTCTGTCCCTCTCCCCCGCGTCTCTCATCCTCCCTCTTCACCCCCTCCACTTGCACCTCGCTTCATTCCCTCCCTGCTAGGAAGTGGGTGCTGTGATTTCTAGCACTGGGGAGAACAGATCAACCTGAGGCTCTGGTCGCGAACCGAGGTGCAGCGGTCCGCCTGGGCTGGGAGAGGCTGACCTGGTTTCTTTGGCGCCCAGGGGTGGTGTTCGGACGCCTGGCCGACAGGGGTCCCTCCCACTCCAGGGCTGAGGGCCTTTGTCCGTCTTTTTCTCAGGTGGCTGACATGGCCGAGCCCCCTGCTTCCCCGCCGCAGCCCCTGCACGGGCCTTCCGGCGCGGGGGTGGCGCCCCAGCCCTGCCCGCCGAGCTTGGCCGAGGGCTTCCTGGAGGAGGAGCGCCGCCTCAACGCCGAGCTGAAGCAGCTGCAGTTCTCGGAGCCCGTGGGCGTCACCTACAACCCCGTGGAGTACGCGTGGGCGCCTCACCACACCTACGTGACCCGCTACTGCCAGGGCCCCAAGGAGGTGCTCTTCCTGGGCATGAACCCTGGGCCCTTTGGCATGGCCCAGACTGGGGTAAGGGCCTGCTCCCCTGCTGGGTGCGGGGGCG